AAGATGTTCCAAAGGGCGGGGGCTACAGCAGAGAAGGCCCGCCTTCTGGACCCTGATAATTGAAGTTCTTTTACCGCGGGGATCCGGAGCATGCCCTCTCTGTGAGATCGGGTGAGACGGGTTGAAATTGTGGGGGCGAGGTGGTCCCTCAGGTAACCAATCAATGGTACCAGTCCACAGGCCATGCCAAGCCCATCACATGCTAAGCAACTGTATCACTATTATCCATAATACAAAGTGTAATATCAAAATCAAAATGGGGAGACCTTTAAGCTGGTCCTAAGGATCATAGTACAAAATCCACTCTTAGCCCAAACATTTGGGAGGGACCATTTAGCTCAATAGTACAGCCCAGGCCCTATATAAGGAAGGTCCAGAGATCAACCACCTGCATTTCTAGATGAAAATCTCTATCCAATATCCTACAGAACTGCTGATATCAAAAGGGGAGATAAATGAATAGTACAATAGTATAAAGCTGTAGTTTAAAAGCCCATTACTTGTCCCATAAGTGAAGATGTCAACCAGTCAACCATAAGAGAGGAAACAAAGGGGTGCCCCGAGGACACTTTCTGAAGTCAAAACCTGCTCTCTTGTCACTAATGGCACCAGCCACTGAGACACAAATCTGCTTTTATCTATATAGCCCTGTCCAAGATTCTATTGGGTAGTCATAGTAAAGTGCAACTAGTCAGGTTTTCACATCCAAGTGAATAAGGATACCTGATGGTCTGGTTTGCCCAAAGCATTACATTATAATAAAGATTTAAACTCAGCTATGATAGCCAGATCATTATGGCTGGTTCAACAAATGCTGATGCAATGCTGATGGGGATGCATTCACAACAAGAACATGGACTCAGTGCAGCATGTCAGTATCCCTTTATGCTGCATATATGTCAAAGAACTGTATGACTATGCAGATCAATAACCTGCGGATATGTACATAGTTTCCACATACATTGAATGAAATGTGAATACCGTTAGAACAAAATGGAGTAAATGTTGGGGATGGGTTTTTCAGACACAGAGAGAGGACCAAATATTGAGAATTAACTTGGAGCTTGCATTATGGGAAGCTAATGAAATGGGATTTCACCACACCACCTTCTGGAATAGGTAAGATGCAAACTTTACTAAAAGCCCTCTCCTCCCACCCTACATATAAACACACATAAACTGGGTTTACACATTATGCTACTCTATGATTTGGTCTATAATGCCCTTGCGTGGAGTGGGCAAATGTCAAGCTTTTAGGAGCTATTTTCTTTATTTTTAATTAGAACCTGGAGACTCACTAGTCAAATTAGAATTAAGGAACTCTCAGCCCAGAGATTGGTTCTGATTATCAGAATTGAATGGAGAGGACAGATAATCCACACAAAATTGCATTACTGGTTAACGTCAATCCCTATGGTTTAAGATAGTTATTAAAACAACTCACACATCTTTACTGTTCAACTAGAAATCACCCAGGGATCTAGTAGATGCCCCAGACACAGCTGCTGCCTACCCCTTTAATACAGGCACATTAAGGGAATGGCTCTGGATCCCACCACATCCAATGACTCCTCATCCAACTCAGACTCAATGCAGAGACAACTCGGTAAAATTAGCACAGAGGAGTACTGGAGGCTCCACTGGTAGGAAGATGAGTTGGAACAGTCTTCCCACTTCGCAAGAAACCTACACTGAATGAGAATAGCCAAACACAAAGCTGATGGAGAAGAATCATCTCTTTCTCACCAGTCCTGCCCTAGAACAGGCCCTACAATACATTCTAACTCATCTTCTATAAATCTGTGGCATTTGTTGTGAATTGTTGCAAAAAAGTTGCTATGACCACAGTTTCATTGCCATGGCTCCCTAAGGTAAACAAGTCTTTATTAGACGTTTCTGCTAAATGGTCTCTATGCTATTCAGAAACACAGCTTGTGACTTCAACATGACTTTAATCCAGCAACCTTAGCACAGAGGTTTCTATTAAAGAATTGTTGCACAGGGAGATAGCATGTACATGGTTAATTGTTCCTCACTACTGGCTGTCTTGACTAGGATTGATGGGCATTAGATTTCATTAATTTTGGAAGGTGCATGGTGCCTGTCCTCAAATAAAACAATCTGCATGACCTAAGGAAGGGATGGACAGCTGTATATGGCTCCCAACCCATCCTACAGCCCCTGAGCTCCCCAAGATCACCCTACCAAAATTCTGTAAAATTCCCATTGAGGGTAGGATCATTTATCCTTCGCTCTCTTTAATGAAAAAAGCCCAGAAATAGGTGTGTGAAGTTTCTGGCAGGATGAACAAAAGTACTTCAGTTTTAACACAGCAAAACATGTTGAAAATTTCAGCATGTTTGACATCCCAGGAAATGCCATCTTACTGCTCCCGTGTTCCCAGGAAACAAAAATTATGTCTACCCCATTGCTAGAAAAAGTTGCACAATTCTGCCCTAAAATCATCATAATACTTCCCTATAGTTAACACTAGTTATGATTGCCTTAAGCCATATCAAGATAACAGCTGTACAGTAAAGCCTCCTTGAGCCTTAGGAGAAAGGCAGGAGAATTGTCTTAGCTCTGGTTTGATCAGTAACACTACAAATATATATATATATATATACACACACACACACAGACACACACATACACACACACACACACATTTCCAGACTTTGAAATTAATGTATTTACAACTGCACAACTGAAGCTGAAATACAGTAAGTACAAGAATGTGCATTAACTTTTTTTTCAATACCACAGATTTGTGTTAAAGAACTGATCAGGGCTGTTGTTTTAAGTGGAGTTAAAGGTTGCCTTCGTGTCTCCTCCTCTCCACTGCATGTACAGAGGAAGTCCTGAAAGAGCTGCTCCTTTCAGAGAACTCTCCCATGTAACTACAAAACGTGTTGCGTGCGTGCACTGAGAGTATACCCCCTGGAGATTAAAATAGGGTGGCAGTACAGTTGAGGAATAAAACTTCAACATAAAGTGAACTAAAAAATGCTGGGATAGTGAGATAAAGTTAGGCTGGATTCACACAATAATACTAAGCCATAGTGTAATCTAGGTTTTGGCTTAGTTATTATTGTTATGATCCATCAAGTCAATCCTGACTTCTGGTGACTACAGGAACAAGTCCATGTGCTTTTCTTGGCAACATTTTTGGAAGTGATTTCCCCTCACCTCCTTCCTAAGGCTGAGAGAGTGTGACTGGCCCAAAGCCACCTAGCCTAAGGCAGGACTAGAACTCAGTCTCCTGGCTTCTAATTCAGTGCTTTTAACCATTCCACCAAAGTGACTCTTTGACTTAGATGTGTAAAATCAGCCACTGTGCTTTATAAACCATGGTTTGCGTGTGAACAAAGCTATTATGGCTTGTTCAAGAAATCATGATGAAAACCATAGCTTAACATAATGCATGAACCCAACCAGAGATTTCTGCTATGAAGTACACAAGTGTAAGTTTATACAACATTGCTCTGCTCATTTTTATACCCTCTACCCAAAACTTCTGAATTTCCAAAGCCTTCAACAGAATTTGCAGAACTACAGCTCCCAGAGTTCCTTCAGAGAAACTTCACCTTTATAAAGACAGTGTTTGTCCTGCACAAGTTTAAGAACAGTTAAACTGAATGACAGTCAATGGCAAACTTTTAATTCAAAGATAACTGCAGATGCTACCTGATTCCCCAGAAAACATGATGTCCATCCTCCGGTCTTACCAGGGGCATCATAAGAGGGCACTTCCTTGAACGAGACGGACATCACAGGATGCTTGAGTTTTTCTCTAAAGTCAGCAATGGTTTGATAGGCCAAAAAAATGGCTACTGACATAAGCACCAGGTATATGAAGAGAAGTATTACAGAGAAGACGTTCTTCAGGCAGGACTTGCTGAAACGCACAGAAGGGCTGCTGCCATCTAGGACTGAAGGTAACATTAACTTGAAAATGCAGTTCATAATGGAGAATAATTGCCTCTTGTTAAAGAGGACAAATTCAAAACTCTGGAAGTAGAGTCATTTGGAAAGGCAGAATCCTATTTTCTCCTTGCATGGAAAGGATGTAGAGGAGGATTGAGCAATTGTTTTGCTTATTAACCAATGGTTTTAGCAGCCAAAGGCCATAGGGAGCATGTCAGCGGAGCAATGATATCACTACAGATGGTGGGGCTGGAAGATTTAGACCTTCAGTTTTTGGAGACTTGGAGATTTTTAAAATGTTGGGTTTTTTTTTTTTTTT